AAATAATAAATATGTTGTCATAGTTTTTATTTAACATGACAAATGTAACAGCGATAGAAACTTGAGAGAGAGAGAGAGAGAGAGAGATTTGTTGCATCGAATAAAAATTCATATATTAATTTTTTTTTCTAATTTTTCAGGCAGTCAAAGTAATATTTTTTTTTATTAACAAATCCATTTGACAGTAAGCATCGGTTTTTTTCCTTCAAGTTCAAACGATTCACTCCAAGTGCACGTGCTTGTCCTGTCAATCAAAATGATTCGACACAATGGAGGTGCTTAAATCTCGCTTCACCGAACATGCCGAAGTCAAAGAGTCACTTCGTTTTCCCGAGAAGTTTTAAGATTTTGTTTACATCATTTTTAAAATTGATTTTCGCTTTTCTACGGAAAAAATGAATAAATAATTGCAATACATGTATATACCTGGAAGGATTAAGTTTGAAATTGAATTTAAAACATAATCCCTGCCATATCAAAATACCACTGTCGGCACATGTATGTATATAATGACTGTTTTGATGTTTGTATAAAGATTTTCTGTGTTACATGTACAATACACATTGAATATTAATTAATATATACTGAAAATAATAACTAAGAATTTGATTTCGGAAGAAAGAGTGCCGGGGGGGGGGGGGGGGCTGTTAAGCATACTGAATGGCAGACGTATATATAGTTACTTGAAGGAAGGTTTTTTTCCTTTGTAATGATACACTTTATATACGTGATGTAGAACCAAAAATTCTATTGTATTAAATTTTAAACAGTTTGTCTTTTCTAAAATTTAAAATCACACTAACAATTTAATTCGCTCTACAAATATTTAATTAACTGAATATCTGTAGTACTATTCATAATTCTCAGACATATATATATAGTTCTAGCATGTTTTTTGTTTATTTTTTCTTTAAAAACTTGTTAGACATATTTTTTTGGGTATTCTTGTCTTATAAAAGACTTGGATTATTATTCATCTATTAACGATTTTTTGTCGTCTTTTATATTATAACGAAATGCCGCGCTTTAAGTATTTGTTTAGGGACATTGCCCTTATCTAAATTTAATATTTTAGCATCGTTCTACTTACATGTATGTTCTTAATGTATTTTTTCCATGGAAAAATGGATAAAGTAACAGCTAAGTTATAATAATAGAAATATATATATCATAGATACTTTTTGTATTGAAATAATTATTCTTCAAACACGATATCTTTTTTTTTCTAATCATTTATTCAATAATATACAACATGACAATGAGGTAAAACTTCCGCAGAAGCCCTCTGGTAATACTTCACCAGGGGTGCCAGGAGCTCCCTGGATCAATAAAATATTATTTAATATATTTCCAATATATTTGAACACAGAATTTTTCACATTATGCTAATATATAATTATTGACTTCATTTTCATACTTATACATAAGTATCTCAAAGAAAAATTTTACCTTTTATATATATAAAATCAAAGTATTCGTTAAACATCAATAGAAGCATGACCATTGTTACAGTGGAGATTGTGTAAAAAAAAAAAGAAGAAAGTCTATATCAATCTCACTGTAACTAGTATTTAGGGCCAGGTCTCCCTAAAATACTGGTCTTTTTTATATTTTACATCTTAAAAACAGGATCAATATGCAGAGTTTTGTGATAACAAAATTAGATTATATAAAAAAAACACATCAGAATGAATGAATTTTACAAGAAAGGAAGATATTTTCCTCATATAATATTAATCATATTTTAAACATAATGTTTCCAGAACCATGTAAAATAACATAGCAAAAACATATTGTGTCTTATAGTGGATTTAAAATTTGAATACATGTACATGTATATATTGTTAATCACGTGAGCATATCCTAGTATTAGAATCACAAGGAATTTTGAAATACATGATTAATTTTCTCTTTGAAATTTGTCAAATCATGTGATTTTAAAAGTGAAAAGTTCGATTTCATTTCATTTTTGAATGCGTTTTTAATGCTGAAGTCTGTTATTTTTAAATTTTCATATTTAATTTTATTTCTTGTTTTCCATATGACCCATTTATAAATACATATTAAAATGTTAAAAACGTTTCTTTGGGTTTGCGGTTCCTTCAAGTAGCCTAATGTTATTGTTTGTTGGTTAATTTGTAAAGTTCCATTTAGTTGCAGCACATTTTCAATTATATCTTCTAGTAATTTAAGTGTTGTTTTAACTTTTGTGCAATGGAAAAAGATGTGTTGTTGATTTTTTTTATGATTTTTACATAGGTTTTATAAACCATTAGTCCGATTTTACATAATTTATCTTCAGTATACAATATATTATGCGCGCATTTCCATTAGAATTCTTGAATTTTATTTTTAATTTTTATTTTTGAAATACTGTCCCAAACTAATTCCACTGTATGTTATTTTGATACATATTTTCCCATTTTTCTTGACATTTTGGAACTATTATCTTGTTTAATATTTTTTCTATGTTCTTTAACTTGATATCTTCAAAGGTTTCCACTTTATTAGTACATCTTTTTATAAGTAAATTATTATTCAATTTATAAGGGAGTTTTGTTTTGCTATTTAATACTGAGCTGTTTCTTTTCAGTATTGGATAAAACAGTTTAGGAATGGCTGATTTTATTTTACTATATTCAAATATCCAACATCTTTTGTCTACTAATTTGTTAAAAATAGTGTCGTTATATTTAAAACAATTTTCCGCATCATTCCAAATGTCTTTAATTTTTAATAAACCACTTTTGATAAATGATTCCACATATAGGTTTTTCCCTTGGAATTGTATAAGTTTATTACCAAAGAGTGAGAGGTTAAGTATTTCCTCTCGATTCTCTGGCACAAATTTTGACTGAAATTCGCTATATGCGATGAGTGCTTTCTTGTAACCAGAAGTCTCTGTCGAGACTGAAGCTCTACTGGTTTGTTCTTTTAGCAATGGAAGGGAAAAGTTCTTAAGCAGTTGGGAATTGAAACTTTACCACAGCAATAAACAGAATAATGATCCTTGATTAAGTCTCTTTATGTTCTTAGTATAGTCTACTTGCATGCCACATTATATCATAACCAGACTTAAACTGCCGGAGGAGTAGCATTTTGAAAGAATTTCACAGAAATTTCTATTTTTTGTTACCATGGCAACACCGTTCATTAAAATCAAAAACCAATATACAGAATTATGTATCTTAGTGTAGTCTACTTGTGTGCCAAGTTATATTGAAATCGGACAAAAACTGTAGGAGGAGTAGCATTTTGAAACAATTTCCCATAAATTTCTATTTTTAGAAACCACGGCAACACTGTTCATCAAAATCAAAAACCGATATACAGAATTATGTATCTTAGTGTAGTCTACTTGTGTGCCAAGTGATATTGAAAACAAACCAAAACTGTAGGAGAAGTAGCATTTTGAAGTTAATTCACAGAAATTTCTATTGATAGTAACCACGGCAACATCGTTCATCCAAATAAAAAAAATACACAAAATTATGTATCTTAGTGTAGTCTGCTTGTGTGCCAAGTTATACTGAAATCAGACCAAAACTGTAGGAGAAGTAGCATTTTGAAACAAATTTACCGACATTTCTATTTTTAGTAACCATGGCAACACCATTCATCGAAATCAAAAACCGATATACAAAATCAAAGTACTCAGAAGTACAGAGAGCCGGGCTCATTTACAGAGTAGAATGGATTTCTTACATGAATCACGTTTATATTCTGATGAAAATTTTTTTTAAAACTATCAATATAAATGATAAGACACTGACAGTGAGTTTTTCAATCCTAATACCACGGTCCAATTTTGTCAGAATCAGAATTAATCTGGTACCGCAGCTGAATGTAAACCAATAGGTCAGTCTGGTTCCCTCTCCTGCTTTACCTCGTATGTGTAGAGAACTACGGTAACACTGATTACCAAGAATCCTTACGCTAATAAACTATTTTCTTTGACTTAGGAAGTTTTCAAAGTCATTACTACTAATGTTTATTTTATATAGATAAAACTTCGTTTTATTTTTGTTGCTTTATTTAGCGTTTGTATTATCTCAAAAGCGGTTGAGTAAGAACTATATTTTTGCACGTAACTTTAAAATGGCGACTATGGGGTCAACATCCTGCCTTGAACAGGATCACATAAGCCGGCAATTGCTCTTTGAGCAATAAGCCCGGCTAAAAATATTCTTGCCACTGTTTTTAATGTCATGTTTTAATATAGATGCTGATGTATACAAGTCTACATGTACGTCCTGACATGTTTCTTGCCATTGATGAAATGATGCAGAGGTTCCAGATAAAGTATATTGATGGATGGACACCATCTTTCATTTCATTGACTGACCAATTGTTGATGACTTTAACGAAACTGACAATGAACACCCCATTTTTGGACCTTGCTGAGAGGTTTAACATGAGTCCGTCATCTGTCAATAACATTGTAACTTCGCAGATTTGTGCTTTGCATGAAATAATATATGAAGGACTCGTAGAGAGTCGCATTCCTTCTCTCCAGAAGTGCAAGGGGTCTATGACTACAAGTTTTGGGGATTTTAGTTCATGTAGAATAGTACTTGATGCAACAGAAATCACCCAGGATGTTCCAGGGAATGATATGAGATTGCAGGCCAGCACATACAGCGGATACAAAAATTCTCACACTGTTAAAAGTGTTACAGGTGTTGCACCTAATGGTGCCTTGGTATTTATTAGTAAATTGTACCCTGGCAGCACATCTGATGTTGCAATTGTAGAACATTGTAAAGTCTTAGAACAGTAATCTCCAGGTGATATGATCTAAGCAGAAAAGGGGTCACTATTCACAAGTTGTTGCCCCAAGGAGTACATCTAAATATTCCTCCCTTTCTTACATCTAAATCCCAATACACCCCCAGTGAGGTCCAACTATGTCGAAGAATTGCTAAGTCACGCATACATGTTGAAAGAGCAAATGAGCGTATTAAGAATTATGAAATTTTACGGCATGTTCCGCAGCAATTTAGATATATTTCTACAAAAGTCTTTCAATTATGCTGTGTTTTAGTCAATTTTAAGGATCCCCTTATGCAGGAAATTGCTCAGAATTTTGCAAGTGTAGATAACTAAGATATTAAAATTAAAATTTTTTCACCATGTTTAATGTTATATCTTATAGCTGTTGTAAATACGGGAGAAATTTACAGAAATAAAAGTCTGTCAAAACAGATATGTTGATCTCCCAATTGATGTCTTTGTTAATTCTCACAATCGCAGTCTTTTGGTGTCCAGACCATAAAATCACACAAGGATTTCCCAGTTATATGAAGCTGTCCTTGCACTTGATCATAGTATTGGTGGTTCTCTCGTAGCTTGAAAGACTTGACTCCATTAAAATCCTGAACCTCTATATGAAAAAAATATATATGTTGAAGATTTTTAAAGAATAAGAATTTTCATTGGTGCCTCAATCGTTAATATAAGACAAAACTATTTAACTAATAAATATTTACATGTATAAGTATTTTGTTCCTTACTGTACAATAAAGTGAGAAGGCAAATCATCTGCCTTGAGGACTAACATTACAACAGAAGGAAAAAACTTTTTTAACAATTGCTAAATTGTACTTAAATTTATCCAAACTAATATATTGAAATTATTTAAAGTAATATCTCAGTACATGAAACATATTCAAACAAATGCATATACACTATTATTACCTAGGCAAAAATCATGTACTTTTTCAATAGCTTCTGGAATTGTCATATTCTTTGCTGAAAAGGGGCATTTCACCTCCAGTATTTCTGGCTTAACGTTTGACATCTCTAATATGTCAGCGAGTCCTGAATTCTGATAGCTGAATCCAAATGCAGCAGGACGACGAATGAGTCCATCGGGGCTTGACCCAAGAACCCCATTACAGTGTAGCCAGATACCTAATATGAACAGTATTATAAAGTTACAAAATAGCATTAATATGCAACACTCTGATTTTCTTATGCATTGATGACTTGTTATAAATAAAACATAAAAATAGTATATTTATATTCATTATCTTAAACTTCAGTTTAATAACTGAATTTTAAATAAATTAGCTCAAGAAAATTTTTTATTTATCATCAATTTTTATTTGCTTTAAAGAAATTGAAATTTTGCTTAGGAAAGAAATATACCAACCTGTTGGCTCTACAACTGCATCCCCAAAAGTTCTATACTTTTCAATTGCGACTTTTTCATTGCACGTCCCCCAAATAATGGCATCCTTCTTTGACAGATCATACGCTGAGCATAATCTTTTGTATAAGGAGACAGGATATCTGTTATATAAGGAGCAAACTTTCAATATTTTTGATTTTATAATTAACTGCTTTTACAAGTATCATTTATAATTACATATACATATAAAGGCATGTAAACTACCAGTATACCTATTTCTCTTGATCGCTGCCAAAACACAACCAAAGTTTGAAGCTGTTAATCTATTCTTCCTAACAGATGACCACATGCAATTTTCCTTTTGACCAGTGGTAAGACAGGCAATCTAAAACATGACAAAAATCTTAAAACTTAAACAACATTCATAATAAAACAGAATACATTCTATTCATTATGCAACTCATTTGTCTTTACCTGTTGGATTTCTTGCTCATTTATCATTAATTTTTGCTTCATCCAAGCGATTGGATTCTCTGCAGAAATAAATTCCTGGCTAGAGATGAGGTCTTCAACTAGAGGCACTGCAAGTGTGGGCACAGGTGGCTCGGGGGATAGTATCCAATGCATTGCTGTTGATTTAATTAAACAAAAAAATTAAACCCTCAGTGAAAAAGACAACAAATACTCAATAAACCTGTATTGCAGTTACATCACCAATTCTTAATACTGGTATATATGTTAAATATTTTTTCAAACTTATTTTATTCACTACTTCAAATAAATTTTGGATTTCAATATGTATACATGTGAAAAGAATGTACAAATAACTTCCTTTAAGTATATGAGAAATAGGGTGAATAATATTTAAACATTTTACTAAAGGTTGCAGTTGAGTTGAAGTTTTATGTTACGTCACGATCTTCTAGTTTGACAGATGCGTTCAAGGTAAATAGTATACGCCTCCTAACCGCAAGCTTTACGACTGGAACTTTCTTCTAATCCCTGATTGTTTGCTTGTACAACAAACTATTTCTGTGTCAAGGTTGATAATATGAGTTAATCAATCACATGAATTGTTTACGCTGAATGCATCTGTCAAAAAAGATTGTGACGTGATGCAAAACTTCACACTGAATAGAAATTGATAGTATAAATGTATAATTAAAAGTTTTAAACAAAGTCAACACAAAAACAAAAGAGACAAGAACAAAACCAAACATGTAAAAGATAAAAAAAGCAAAAAGAATGGAAAGACTGCACATCTTGTCAGAATTTCAGTCCAATGTCAAATAAGCCATTATATATCTGAAGTCCAAAGTCCAGGTGTAATGAGTTAGTTAGGTGTTTTGTGAATTTTTATATATATATACATGTGTGTATATGCATTCTATCCTATCACAGTTTAAATTTTCAAAAAAGTAACAATAAAATAAACTCGTAAACAATGTGACACTAAAATAAAACACCAGATATATTAACCTGAAAATCTCCCTACAGTTGTCTATTTCTGATATAGGAACTCCCTGTCCCTATCATTGACTGGCCTATTTGTTGCCCTAGTAATTTTTCACAAAAGTTGAAAAATGGAGCATAATACAACACTGAATTGTTTTACATATACCATGCTAGCTGCAGATCTGCAGCTTGCTGGTCTGAAAAAATTAGGATGGACGACCAGAGAGATACAGTTCCATCCATTGAAAAAAGTGTATATTGCCCATAAAAAATGTGCTATTTCTCTATTTTTTATATTTTCACTTTTGGGATACTGTCATTTTTTAATATTTTGCACCATTCATGAAACAGTCATAATAAATGCATACCTGTAATTAATAAACCTGTCAGGTGCAGGAAAAAGTTCTTCCATCGTCTTAGTTTGACGAGGTGGCACACTCTTTGGATGCTTAATCCAACTCTGGCGTACATCAGTTTTGCTGACATTTTTGTAACCTGTATCAACATGTTCCATTAATTTACTAAGTTATATTATAGTCTTGGGGCCTAAAGTTAGATTTTATAGTTACAAGTATGCTTATATATGCCAAGGTAGTGGACTTGGAGGTTCCAGGGCACGAATAGTACCCTGCTACCTACAGTCACATGGTGAACTGCACACTTGTATATACCGGGTATATATATTGGTGTGCATATTTTGATATAATTTCTATTTAACATTAAATTTGGTAAAGCATACCTAAAACAGACCAAGTGAATTTACATATTACATAAATTGCTTATAAATTACCCATAGAGAAGAATGCTGGCTTTATGGTGACATTTGTCCATCCCATTTACACATTCACAGGTACTCTGTTCAACTGTGTAACAGTTACCAGTGGTTACCAAGAGTAATCTAATAAAATAAAAAAAAAAATAACCACCTAGAATTTTACTTATGTTTCTATCAATTTTAAAAGTAAAAAGCATGTTTACATGGAAACTTGAAAATTAAGGAGAGAGAGAGAGAAAAAAAAGAATTGTATATTAATTTATTATTATGTATTAAGACATTGCATAGACGCTTTCAGTCAAGGAAATTCGGAAAGAGGTTTGTTCTGGATTTATTGCATAGGCAGGATAAAACATATATACTTCCAAACGTGTTGTACATTATGCATTTTTTCGTGATTTGCAACAAAAGACTTTAAAAAAAAATTTTCTTTCTTCCAAAAATCTCAAAGAAATGGGATGAACTTACAGTAACCTGGTAGCTCCGGTCTCGCATGGAGGCTTGCACAATTCCCCTTATAAACTGCGCATCTTTGTCATACACAAACTTTAAAACGTGGTCAGATTGACGGCAGTCTCCGATTTCCGCATAAGTTTCGTTGTACCAGCTGTATAATTTGACCATGGAGAACGCCATACCGCAATCGCGTATACCTTGTGTAATATGCGTCTTCTTCGTTTATCTCCAGAAACGAAATCTGGCGATGTCTAGGGGGGCACTGTGTAGGCCTAACACCTGCATCATTAGGGACCCCTCGGCTGATTAGGTTTGCCGAATGAGTGGAAAATTTAGCCTGGTACCCTGTCTCATCATTGCCGAGGCATTGACGCAGAGTAAACGAAGCAAAACAGGGACAGGGAACCAGGCTATGCGTAGGAATTTGTTAAAAGTTCTCTACTAAGAACAAATGTATTTTTAATAACTGCACAATAATAATTACAGTACAGTTTATATTCACATTTAATTAATCAGATTATGAGTATAAATTGTTTCAACAGCGATTACAAGTAGATGCACTATATTTCAGAACGTCAGTTTAATTTGACGACTATTGGGTCAACATCCTGCCTTGAACAGGAAGTTGAACAGGATCCCATAAGCCGGCTATTGCTCTTTGAGCAATAAGCCCGGCTAATTATGTATCTTAGTGTAGTCTACTTATGTGCCAAGTTATATTGAAACCAGACCAAAACTGTAGGAGAAGTAGCATTTTGAAAGAATTTCACTGAAATTTCTATTTTTAGTAACAACGGCAACGCCGTTCATCGAATTTAATGCTTCGAAAACTAAGTTAAATCACAGGCACCTGAAGTATGGATAATACCCCCCCCCTTTTTTTAATGAAAAAAAAAAATGTAAGAGTGTATAATATCTCAAAAATATAAAATTTCCCCGTCAAACACATCTATATGTCATTATATGCAAGCAGATTGTACTTTTTCTCACGTTTAAAGAATGGCCTTATTCGGTATAGTAAAAATACAGTTAAAATAGTTAAAACATGAACCAAATTTAATTGTTTGAAAGTTGTTGCACAATACTCAGGTGACCTATAAGGCCCGTGGGCCTCTTGTTGGAGAAGTAGCATTTTGAAAGAATTTCACTGAAATTTCTATTTTTAGTAACAACGGCAACGCCGTTCATCGAATTTAATGCTTCGAAAACTAAGTTAAATCACAGGCACCTGAAGTATGGATAATACCCCCCCCCCTTTTTGTTAATAAGAAAAAAAAATGTAAGAGTGTATAATATCTCAAAAATATAAAATTTCCCCGTCAAACACATCTATATGTCATTATATGCAAGCAGATTGTACTTTTTCTCACGTTTAAAGAATGGCCTTATTCGGTATAGTAAAAATACAGTTAAAATAGTTAAAACATGAACCAAATTTAATTGTTTGAAAGTTGTTGCACAATACTCAGGTGACCTATAAGGCCCGTGGGCCTCTTGTTGGAGAAGTAGCATTTTGAAAGAATTTCACTGAAATTTCTATTTTTAGTAACAACGGCAACGCCGTTCATCGAATTTAATGCTTCGAAAACTAAGTTAAATCACAGGCACCTGAAGTATGGATAATACCCCCCCCCCCCCTTTTTTTAATGAAAAAAAAAATGTAAGAGTGTATAATATCTCAAAAATATAAAATTTCCCCGTCAAACACATCTATATGTCATTATATGCAAGCAGATTGTACTTTTTCTCACGTTTAAAGAATGGCCTTATTCGGTATAGTAAAAATACAGTTAAAATAGTTAAAACATGAACCAAATTTAATTGTTTGAAAGTTGTTGCACAATACTCAGGTGACCTATAAGGCCCGTGGGCCTCTTGTTAAGAATTATAATTATTTTGTTTTTTTTGTTCATAACCTCATCCCCCTGATGACTGATTTAACCACAGGCACCTGAAGTATGGATAATAACACCCCCCCCTTTTTTTAATGAAAAAAAAATGTAAGAGTGTGTAATATCTCAAAAATATAAAATTTCCCCGTCAAACACATCTATATGTCATTATATGCAAGCAGATTGTACCTTTTCTCACGTTTAAAGAATGGCCTTATTCGGTATAGTAAAAATACACAAGGTAAGAAACAAAAGTTGTAAACAAATGGTGAACCCCTACTTCGAACCAGATAACCAAGGTAATAATTAGTGTTACCTATCATAATTTTGCAATCAATCTGTCTGGGAGATGTTCTTTGATTAGTCTCTTTAACCTAAACACCGCTATTAGCGTTCTATATGCCGTAATCAGACGATTTATTAATCGGATACACAAAATTTTCTCCATTGGCAGCGTTAAAGGAGGTTTTGAAGCTGCTTTTCTGTTTCGCTTTATCTGATTGGCTAATTATAATACAGTTTAAATATCTAACCAATCAGATAAGGCGAAACAGAAAAGCAGCTCCAAAACCTCCTTTAACGCTGCCAGTGCGTTGATTGGTTGATTAACACACCAAAGAGCAAATTTCAAAGCATTAATTTATTTTCAGACTTTGTACACCCCCCCTTCACCCCCGCCCCTGGGCGGGGGCGGGGGCACAAAAAAATAACCATTTTGCTAGGTGCACATTTCTTCATCATGAATATATATTTGGATCATTGGCATTAAACACAGGAGCAAAGGAAAGAATTTAAAAGAATAAATGCATTTTCACTATATAAGAGAGCCCTGCCCTAACACCAAAACCCCTGACCCTGGGTCATAAAATTCACAATTTTGAAAGAGGCACTCTTGCTCATCATAACTATGTGCTTAGTTACTTTATTTAATACCCAGAAGTAGAGAAGAAGATTTTCAAAGAATTAATGCATTTTCACTAAATAACCAATAGAGACCCGCCCTAACACCAGAACCCCAGACCCTGGGGTTACAAAATTCACAATTTTGAAAGAGGTACTCTTGCTCATCATAACTATGTGCTTGGTTAGTTTATTTGATACCCAGGAGCAGAGAAGAAGATTTCCAAAGAATAAATGCATTTTCACTATATAATCAATAGGGCCCCATCCTAACACCAGAACCCCTGACCCTGGGGTCATAAAATTAACAATTTTTGAAGACGCACTCTTGCTCATCATAACTAAGTACTTAGTTAGTTTATTTTAATACCCAGAAGTAGAGAAGAAGATTTTCAAAGAATTAATGCATTTTCACTAAATAACCAATAGAGCCCCGTCCTAACACAAGAACCCCTGACCCTGGGGCCATAAAATTCACAATTTAAGAAGAGGCACTCTTGCTCATCATCACTATGTGCTTAGTTAGTTAATTCAATACCCAGAAGTAGAGAAGAAGATTTTCAAAGAATTAATGCATTTTCACTATATAACCAATAGAGCCCCGCCCTAACACCAGAACCCCTGACCCTGGGGTCATAAAATTCACAATTTAAGAAGAGGCACTCTTGTTCATCATCACTATGTGCTTGGTTAGTTTATTTAATACCTAGGAGCAGAGAAGATTTTCAAAGAAATCATGCATTTTCACTATATTATCTATGTAGCCCTGCCCTAGCACTAGAACCCCTGACCCTGTGGCCATGAATTTCACAATTTAAGTAGAGGACTCAATGCTCATTACATTCATAACAACAGTTTGCCTGCTTGATGTCCAGGAGTAAAGAAGAAGATTTTTAAAGATTGCAATAATTTTAGTGGTTTTTGCCCCACCCCCCAGGCCCCAGGGGGGCAGGGACCATGAAATTCACAATTTTTGTTCCCCTTCACCCATAGATGCTGTATACCAAATTTGGTTAAAAATGGTTGAGTGGTTTCAGAGAAGAAGCCGAAAATGTTCAAATGTTAACGCACGACGCACGACACACGACGACGGACGAAACGGATAGCAATAGGTCACCTCAGGGGACCTAAAAATTGCTATGAAAATAAAAACTTACCACAGTTGGCTATGAATGGTGTTTTTAATATTGGCTTATCGACATGTGGGTGAAAAACCTTGACATTACAATTTGCGACGAGAATGGTTTTGGCCTGCCCCCTCACAAACACGCACATTGAGGGGGCCGCCGCGAGGCAGTAGGCATAATGCATGCTAGTGAATTCCTTACATGGCGTACACGGTATGCATACAGTCTGGGGTGTATAGGCCAAGATCATAGAAGTCGTTAGGATTAGAATAATCCTCATTGCTGCCGCGTACTCAACAGTCAACCGCGCCTTTTAAAAACGAGCTCTGCCTCGATTTGAAATTAGGTATTGTAAAGCACGAATCCAAGTTTAGTCTCTCTATTTCCGGACAGTTTCATTTTTTTTATTGACACTTTTGGACGTCATGAAACTTTATTTTTTATGTGTGAATGGAAAATGTTTCAGAAGAAAAAAAAATGAACGAATTTTTAGAATATTATAAATTTACGCAGCACATAAATGAATGCAATAATAATTCTATAATCTTCAAAAGAGGTCATGAAATGTGCACACTTTTTTTTTACTCATAATTACCACAAAGATCAAAAACAAAATAGACCTTTGTTGTAAATAATGTTTTCACAAGATCTATAGGGTGCACAAAATATATGTTGTATTTGACGACCATTGTTTTCAGTGACACAAATTAAGAACAAACTTCTAAAGTCATACAATAATGTGCTTTCCTCAGCATCAGTTCGACAGAACAAAAGATTCAGTTGTAATTCAAACATGATAACTATTGTTCAGTGACACACATTTTTCACATATAGGTACAAGGTTAAGGGAGTAAAATATAGAATATAGATCTCTTTTAAATAATGTTTTCTCAGCATTATAAAAGACGCTTCCTCTAAGGTCAAGAAAAAAAAAACTTGTAGTCAGCTAATGATGAATTCAAGGCATTGTATATCTTATCATATATAAGGTTGAAGATTTTTCATTCATCAATCCAGAATTCTCTTTCTGATTTAGAGATAAGAATGGCTGAGGCACAGTTGACATTCATATAAGTTAATTTTTTTGTATTATTTTTTTTAATTGTATTTTTTAAAATTCTTTTTTCATTATTTAGGCATTTAGAAAACTGAAAAGCATGCATCTTATATGAATACAATTATTATTAAAACAAAGAGTAGACATGATTTTTTTTATATATACATTTTTTTTAATCAAGGGACAGTTTGGAAAATAATGAACGTAAATGCAAGGGACCCACTCTGAAAGAACTGCTGCAGAAACCACCACTACAACCAAGAATGCAAATGTGTAAACCGAAGCAACAACCACCAGCGATTCATCAAAAACAAGAAAACGTTTTCTCGGATCAAAAGGAAAATAGTTTTGAAAATTTCGTAGGGTTCGAGGAAGAATGGAAAAAAACTACATAGAGAACTCGATCTTCCTGATTTGGATGTCGAGTAAGTACTGAGTATAATAAAATCTTACGTTTTAATGCTATCAGCATCAATAAACGCTAAATTGTACTGACTTAAAAATTATTTATTAGTTTTGTTTTTAATTACATTGTATTGGCATTAAAGATTTTTCCTAATTTTTGGTACAAAAGAAAAAGTATCATTGTATCATCCATAGTATAATCAAAATTTATCTTATGCATTTCTAACAATTTTAGAAATTCTTCAAATTCCATAAATTTTAAAGACAATCCTCAAAAGTCAGAACAAACACCTGTATTTCAAAGGTATTCTTATCACTTGTTACTGTATGTGTAATCAGCATAAAAATTTTTTAAAATTAAATTCATTTTTTTTTCAAACGCTTCCTCTCTTTTTTAATAAAGATATTCCATGACTAAAAACTGTGTCGAGACCGGTGATACCCGTACTGCGGTATTAAAAGCAACTACTCCAGAGGGGTACGTTATCAGGGAAAATCAGACTGCTACCTATAGAAGTCCACAAAAAAATTACGATAGTTCGACAGCTACATGTAGCAATGGGTTTATTGACGTTGAAGTCTCCATAATGACAGAATTAAGGTATATGATAAGTAACTAGAAAACTGACCAGTCAGCAAGGGCCCCGCCATGGGGTAGAATTAATAGGTCGCAGATGATTAAAAAATGAACGAAGCAACTGTATTCTTAAAATTTCAAGATAATTCTTGAATATTTAAAAACCTGAAAATAATATCCTTATATTTACATTAGACAGTAAAGAACAATTTAACATTGAATGTATATTTAAACAATTATGAGGCTTGTGTTATATAAAATGCCAGCCTTCAATGAATGCAGATATCATGAAGGCTTGACCTTAACTTCAAACAAACAACAGTTGCAGACAAAGGTTTTCATTAATCTAAGACAGATAAAGAAAAGCCTACTACTTTCCTGCAGCAGGCTAGATAATTAATCCCAAGGGATTAATTGACTACCTCTCTCATTATTTTCTTCAAAAGTTACAATTAGAACTTTTTCAGTATTAATGATAGAATGGGTTTTTTTTATACAATTATCCTAAAAATTAATAATATTCTTAAATTAACATAAAGTGAAAAAAGCAAATTAAAAAAATCTTCTTCAATCTATTTCTTGTTATTAGAATTCAATGAAATGATAACTATTAAACAAAAATAAATTATAAAAATTTAAATCCACATTTATGAGTGTTCATAGCATTCCAAATTGACTTAACTACAAAACAACCGTATTTGTAGACAGAATTGGTAATTCATCTCAATTTGACAGATAAAGATAATGCTCTGCATTTTTTTCAGGAGGAAAGCTAATTAATCCCAAGGGACTCAAAGAGCATTCAATTTATAATGGGAACATCTTCAGCAGTTATCTCTCTTTGCCAATGCTTTGGTATATAATGTTAAGGAATCTACCCCACCACCCCAGCTCCAAACCAGGGGACATAGAGACCAAAACTTAGCATCAAAATGTGTATTTCTGCATACTGAACTACCATACCAAATTTGAAGATGATTGGGCAACCATAAAAAAAGTTGTCCATTCATTCTTATGCATAGATTAAGAATCTACCCCATCACCCCAGCTCCAAACCAGAAGACATAGAGAACCAAACTTAGCATCAAAATATGTATTTCTGCCTACTGAACTACCATACCAAATTTGAAGATGATTGGGCAACCATAAAAAAAGTTATTGGTAAAAAACAGAAAATTTGTGGACGGAAGAGTGACAGACGGACAGACAGACAGACAGACAGACGGACGGACAGACAGAGTGATTACTATAGGGCACCCGCAAATTCTTGCGGGGCCCTAATTATGTTTATAAATTTGAGAAGTACACATATTATGGTTATTCGTCTGACTCATTTAATATTGAATCTTCATACTTCAAAAGAAGTAAATCATTTACTGAATTATTTAATATGAGAATGCAAGTAGACTTTGTGTTTTATTTTAAATGTAAATTAATTACGATCTTATATTTCAGACGACGTCATCTGAAAAGATGCATGGTAGAAAAGACACCAGTGCCACCCCATCCTCTCCATAAAGAGTTAGAAACATTAAAAGACTTGGAAAAGAAAATGAGAAACAATCTTGATGAAATTAACACTATTATAGGTTATATAGAGAGTTATTTTAAAAATCGTAGGGTGCAGTTTGTATCTCTCAATTGAGAGAGAGAATTCTGGAGTCATGTAATTGTATGAAAAAAATGAACTTAGTATGTATGAATAAATATTCTCTCTCTCTCTCTCTCTAATCTTATTGTAAAGAAAAAAAATGATAAATAGGTGATATAGTTATTTTAAAAATCACACGGTGTTGTTTGTATCTCTCATTTGAGAAAGAGAATTCTGGATTCATGTAATTGTATGAAGAAATAAACTCAGTATGTATGAATTAATGTTCTCTTTTTTTTAAAATCTTGTTGCAAGGGAAAAAAAGAAAAAAGTTCATTAAAAAGATCGTTATTAATAATATAAAAAAGTTTCTGATCAGTGTTCAAAGTAAAATATATACACTGTCAAAGTGATACTTACCGTTTTTTTTTTGTTGTGGTTATTAGCATTCTCTTTGAGAAATGCTTTGCAAAATTACTCTTTTATACTACAAGTGACTTTAATGTAGGTTAGTAGGTCAATCCCCAGATGAAGAAAGCCTTTGCTTTGACCTAAAAAAACCCTAACATATACTGTTAATTGTGCTTCAGAATTGATACAGTCCATAAATTTGACCGGCTGTCCTACATGACTTGACCTTCAATGGTCATGGTCATATTTGTCACTTGTAAACTTACCCTTGTTTTTTCATCCTTCTTTAAGTTGATCGGTCAAGGCCAGACCTAAAAAATAAGGTCATGATAACGATCTTCAGTAAGTTGCTAAGGTGAAGGTCACGACCTAGTCAGTGAAATTAGGTCAAGGTCGTGGCCTTCTTGGGTCACGACCTTGACCAGCGTGAAATTAGGCCAAGGTCATGACCTTCTTGGAATTAGGTCATGACCTTGACCTCATTTCCAAGGTGAAGGTCATGACTTTGACCTCATTTCCATGAGTGTATTGAGTGTACAGTATACCCCCTGCTGCTCATGTATCAATTCACATATAATTATATCTATCAAATCAAATATAATGATTGTAATCAAGTCCTTTTTATGATGTCTTAATTTAAAAATGAATTGTACTAATTATGAAATCCTTTCAGGTGTGTCACAAGAAGTGTACTGGGAGACGATGAGAGGGAGAGGACTTGACCGTTGGATTTGCCAGGACTGTTCTCAAGATCAGCCTGTCCACGAAAGCACCAGACTGAGTTTATCCACAAACAGGACTGCACAGTAAGTTTACATTTTCAATGTACAATATCATACATACTGATCTATATGTATAATTTAATCTCGTGTTACTCAGGTTGATTATTCAAGAGTATTGGTCTATTCTGCTATCAATATTATTAATTACCGGCCGCCGGAGGCGGTCGGTTATATGATATGAAAGTTTTAAGACGCTGTGCGTCAACGGCCCAAGCAGAACTTGTAGAAACGACACTTTCATTGTCTACCCCTACAGAACAAACAGGTACTTTTTATTATATCCATGTGTTACTTATTTTAAACATTTTGAAAATTTGTATAATCTATACGAACTGTTGTTATCAACAGGAAATGACAATGAGGATCTATTTATTACACATTAAACTTAATACACTGATTGTCTTGAGAGAATTTGAAAAATCATGAAAGTATTTTTTTTTGTTAAGCTATTTTTTTTACAGTATCTGGATTGAATCGAATAGCACCGATAGAAATTTATGTCATAATTTATGCGCATAAATTAAAATAAGTCTCCCGCTAGAGGCGCTGCAGTAGGTTCGGACAAATATAGTTATGATGGCGGCCAATTCGTTATTAGAAGAGGATATTCCCGGGGCCAAGTTTGTTCATGCATCGGTCGAGGAACACACAAATATTCAATTAAAAAGATGGTTGAAATGTCGTGGGCTTCCTACTTCTGGAAAACGGCCAGATTTAATAGAAAGGTACCCAATGTTTGATAATGTGTATTTGTAAACAACGAAAATCACGACACCGCGATTGAAACATTTGTGTAAAATATAAACAATTTTTTCGGTAATGTTTCGTGGCAATTAAATTATTAAATGATGGAAATTTACAAAAACAATCTACAATAACACATACTTTGAACTTTTTGTCATTAAATAATATACTTAATATTATGCAGATGCCAGAATGCTGTAAACAACAATGTTAAAATTGATCTGAAAGTTGACGATGGTAAATGGCTGAATCTTAAAAAGAATCCAACACCTGTTGCATCACAAGTTCCCTATGTTCCAATTCAAGGTTGGAAGAAGTTTCCATCTGTGTCTATACCAAAACATTTTAATCATGGGCATATCTACTATTATCTTGTGGAATCAGTAGCATCAATAGAGTGTGACTCAAACAGTTCTGAGGATGACTGTCAAGATGATGTACATACTAGCAAACCATTTACTAAGGGTATGAATCTTTTTAGGAGTGGTCATGTGAAAAACATGCATGATGTCAGTTGTAAAGGACACTATTTTGTTAAAGCATCAGTGTTAGCTTCCTACTCAAAACATTCCTACAATTGTACAGTAACATTATCCGAATCATCTGGATCAGTATTAGAGGGTACATGCACTTGCTCTGCTTCTGGCATGGGCAGATGTTCTCATGTTGCTGCTGTGTTGTTTGCATTAGAGGACTACACTATTGAATTT